AGGCTCATTTTACCTGAGCTGGTCGACGTCCAGGAGAAGGGTCGGCTCACTGAGAACGGGGTGCTGTCGACACGCTGGCCCAGCTGGTTGTAGCTTCTTTCCATCATTTGCTGACCCCAAGGGCATGTTTCTTAATTCCCTGGAGCTTCAGGAAAACCGGCCAGAGAAGAAACGTTGACCTCCAGTTCATTCTCTCTCTGAGCCCATAAATGGAAGAGAAACCTGAACGAAAGTCTGGGGTTGACCAATCAGCAACTGAAGTCACAGCCGCGGTCCCCTCCTGGTGGGATGGCAGCTGCCGGGGAGGCCCGCTCCCCTCACACCTGGGCCTGGCCAAACCAGGTGCTCGCGCCGGCTCCTTTAGCCTTCGCTCTTGGTGGCGCCTCGCGCCACCAGCTCCACCCAGGTCCCGTCAACCTTGGCCTGGAAGGACGGGGACATTGGGCCGTACAGTTCATAAATTCCTTTTTGTTCCCCCAAAGCTAGCAGGAGCCAAGTATGCCGGCTAGCCTTCCGGGCCTGTTTAAAAAGGATAAACTGCTCAGCACATCAATAACACCCCGCCGCCTTTATCGCATAAACAAGGCCAGGGAGCCCCATGCGGGGAGGAGCCTAAACGCAGGTCCTCCTTGTTATCCCATTGAGCCCGTTGAATGTGTGGAAAGAAAAAGGCTTCCCACCTCGGGTCTGGTTTAGACCATCAGGGAGCTGATTAGGGCTGACGACTGCCGTGAACTCTGACACCGCCAGGCCGGAGGGGGCACACCACCGGCTCCTCGCCTGGCGCGACTTCAGAAACCCGGCATGGGAGCCCCTGACGCTGGGACTCGGGGGGCCGCTGTGCCTCCCGGATCTGGATCCGGGGAGGGCGCCACCCCGAGGCGGCGAGTCCGCGCACTCGGAGCAGAAACTGTGTGCAGGCCTCTCGCAGGCGCTCGGGACCTCACCTGGGGCTCCGGGCCGCAAGGCAAGGTGCTAAGTTGCTTCTGGCCGGTGGGAAGGAGCTTAACTATGCAGGCGACTGGATAAACAGGGATTTTATCTTGCAGTGTGAATCAAGACATAAAAATTCCATTTCAAGAGGGAGGGTCTAGATTAAACCCTGAATGTTCATTGTAAACTGGGAAGAAGAAAAAAAGAGGAAGGAAAGAAAAATAAGGAAGGTCCCCTGCCCAGGTCGTGCCCAGAACCCTCCCTCCCCGCCCACAGACTGCTGCCTGTTCTCCTGGGATGCAGCCCACCTGCTCCTGGGGGGCGGGAGGGACCCCCAACAGACCTCTCCTGAGGACCGAAGGACCCGGCCATTCAACCCGCCTGGCAGTTGATGCGGGGACGGACTCTTAAACCCCATCCGCCACCACCTTTAAGGTATTTCCATTGCAAATCAATTCACTGCTTCCAGACTGAAATCGGACGCAGGGCAAAGTCTGCGAACAGCTGCCCAACACAGCAAAAGGCTCAAACCGAGCGAAACAGAAGGCAAATCCAATGCGCAGGATATTTAGGCCCCCAAAAGAATATGACTTCGCTTCCTTTCCTCCGACCTCCCCTCCCCCCACGGCCTCGCACCTGGCAATTCCTTAAAGGCTGGGAAATTCACCCAAAAGACGACATTGGGGAATGAGGGTTTATTTAGACCCTGGCATCATGAATTTCGACCATGAGTTGGAAACACTGTCTTGAGGAGGAGAAGGGCTCACACACCTCACGGGGGCGGGGCTTGCTCTCGGCAGGTAGGGCCCCGTGCGACTTCCATTTTTATTCTTCCTCCCTTGTCTTTCCAAATAGCATACCGGGAGCACTGTTAATTTTATCATGGGAGAGAAAAGAAACTTGTACAATGCTATGCTAGGAGCATATATTATTTTTATGATGGGGTTTTATCTTGTTGATGATTTTTTAAACAAGAAGTTTTATTGTTTTTTAGAAAAACTCAAAAGTCTGAAGCCACACACACGCCCCCTCACTTTTCTAAGTTTATTTTCTTCCTCCCACCAAAGCCCCTCCAAACGGAGGCATTGTCCCAAGGGTTTGCCTTTTCTTGCCCCCCCAGCTGGGGGGTGGGCGGGGGGCTGAAGGCCCTGCGAAGGTACCACCCAGCCCTGGGGCAGGAGGGGATGGGCCTGGCACCGCGCCTCTGGGTCCAGGAACAGACGCGAAGTGGAGGACAAGGAGGCATCAGCAGATGACCACCTTGACCATCTCTCCCCGTGCCGTGCCTCAGTTTCCCCATGTTCAGGAAGGGGGCGTCAGGGGTTCCCTTTCCCTTTTGCTCATCTTACTCTTCGGACGCCGGATGCAAAAACTGCAATAATGTCACTGAGGTCGTGGTGCGCCCACAAGCTCAGAGTGGGTGCAACGGGCATTTGCTGAATTTTATCCTTTTTCCCCCCAACCCCCGGGCCCATGTCCCTCCTTCCCCTCCCTCCTAAAGCACCCACTCTCGTCTGTCTGGTGTGGGACCTCAGCTACACACACGGAAAGTCATACCGTCTGCTGCGTGTGCTGGCCCCCAAGGGGACGTCCGGAAGCGAGCGAACGAGCAGCCTCCTGACACCCGCCCGGCTCCAACGCGGCAGCCCCGAGCCCGGCATGGGGTCTCTGTGTTTTGGGGACTCCTGGCGAATGGCCGTGGCCTCGCGAGGGCCTACCACCCCAGGCCCCACACTGAGAGCTTTATTCATGTCACCTCCCAAGATCTTCGCCCGAGCCTTCTGAGAAGCCTCACTTCCGAAATGAACCAAGAGGCTGAGGGGTAGCCAGAAGCCACACACCCCACAAGCGGCGGCGCCAGGACGTGACCTCCGCCGGACGCCCCGAGCCTTCCTTCTCCCCCACCCCGGCATCCACAGAACCCCTCCCTCACCTTGAACTTTCTTGCTTCTCAAGTGAAACAGACGGAACCAACCTGTCCTTCCTACAGTCCGCCTGGCCTGGCGCGTCCAATTAGCTCCAAACTGTCCACCAGTTCAGAACGGAGGTAGCGGTCTGGGTGTCGTCTGGGCGGAGCTACCAGTGTCCAGACTAAGCTGCTCCTCCAGGCCTTTCACAGTCAGCGGCAGACAGCCCCGGCCTCAGCGAGAGAGGCGGGGTGGGGCTGGGGGCCCAGGGATTTAAAAAGAAAGCCCACCCCAAATCTCCCAAGCAAGAAGCCTGGCGACATAAGAACAGGGGTTTGTTCCTCGTTCAGCGATGAGTTTAAGCACCCAACAACTATGCAGTGCTCCGGGGCTGTTCCCACGGGAGCCATGCCCTTGAGTAGAGGGACAATGATGTATTTCCACAGTTGGGGACTGGCAATCCAAGGGTGAGTTATTACGTTAATGAATTCTTACTAATATATTAATAAATGTGTGGATGAAAATCAGTCACCGATTCATCTTGGCCCCACCCAGAACAACAACCATGACAACTGAGATGTTAGTCATTTCACCCACCCACCCCCCCATCCACCCACCCACTCACCCACCTGTCCCTCCATCCCTCCCTCCAACCACCCATCCACCTGTCCATCTACCTTATCTACCTGTCCTTCCACCGTCCATCCCTCCATCCGCCCGCCCACCCAGCCCTCCGCCCATTTATCCGTGCTCCATCCACCTACCCATCCATCCATCTACACGTCTGTCCATCCACCCACCCACTCGCTCACCCATCCACCCACCCACCCACCTAAAACACGCTCACTGAACCCCTGTGTGCCAGGCGGGGGCGGGAAGCCCTCCCCACACACAACGGCCTGACGGAGCGAGAAGACCGCGGGCGGTGCGAGGACCGGTGGGGCCGCTGCCGGGCAGCCTGGGGCACTCTCACTGCCTGCCTCCCCCGGGAGCAGGTGGACAAGAAGCCACTGAGGACGCAAGCGGTTTAGAGTCAGACCAAGGAGCCAGACTGTCAAGCCCCAGCCCAGGCTCTCACTCGGGCTCCACCTCACACCCGCTGTGTGACCTTCGGCATCTCCCGAGAGCCTCGGGGCCTCAGAAGCCTGGGTCCTGCCCCCAGGCCACTTCTGCGGACACTGTCTTCCTAGCCCCACGTGGCAGCGTGCCATTTTACAGAACGAGAACCTGAGGCTTGGAGCGAGTCACAGGGCAGCAAGCAGGGCACCCAGAGCTCAGAACAGAAGGGGCCCCCGTTCAGACGCCTGCCCTGCACTGCACTGCGCGAGCCCGCGAGCGGCAGCCCCTCCCGCTGAGCCCTGCCCTGGTGAGTCACTAGGTGGTGGCACTAGGGTTCGAGGTCAAGCCTTCGACGCGAAGGTCACGCTCGTCCCGTGTGGTCTGGTTGCTCACCTGTGCATTCGCCTGGCGTGTCGTGGGCCCGTTACATACAAGGCACGCGCTAGGCACAGGCGTGCGCGGGTGTAGCTCACAGCAAGGCTGACGCCGCAGCAGCCACCACAGGGACAAATGAGGATCAGTTACCCGATGCCCTGTGCTCTCTGGACAGCGGGAACATGGTTTCCCTGCCTCAGTTTCTCCGTCTGTAACAGGGGAGTGGGGGAGAGGATCCTGTTGATGCCAGCCCGGCCAGCAGGGCGCTCTGCAGGCAGCAAGGGTCACAGAGAGGGGTGCATCCCACTCTGGCCTGGTCCTAACCGCCCCCGCCACTGCCCCCGCGCAGCCCCGCCCACCCTTCCCACGGGGAAGCCGCCTGGATGTTTATTTGGTTATTAGATAACCAGACCTGGGCTCCCTCCTTTGATCAGACACCCCTGATAACGAGCCGAAGAAACAGACCGTTTTATGGCGCCATTTCGTGGGACGATCTTATCTTAACAGGAGGAGGTGGGTGCTGGTGGGGAGGGGGGAGGCGGGTCTGCTCTGCAGAGCGTTCCTGCGGCCCCCACCCCGCCCGGGCCTTGCAGGGGAGCCATGGGGTGGGAGGAAAATGCAGAGGTGAAAGGCTGGCCTCCCTGCTCCCAACACCGCCGTCTGGCTCCCACACGCAGGCTGTGCCGGGCCCCAGAAAGGGCCCCCCGTGTGCCCCCCACCCCGCAGCTCCGACCCCCTGGGGGGCCCAGCGCTGGAGGCCCAGATGCCGGAACGCTGCCCGTGGAGGTGGTCACGGCCGGCAGATCGGGGCTGGAGAAGGAATTTGCTTCTCCTCCAACCACCCGTATAATCACCACCATCACCGATGCTCCGGGTGGTGGTTGGGAACGTAAGGGGTCAGGGACTGTGCGCATACCACCCACCCTTCCTCCGCAAACGCAAGGTCTGGGCCACAGATCTTTTGGGGGATTTTTTTCTGGTTAGAAATAAATATGTGCCTGAAGCCAATAAATAAGTTTCAGCTTAGATTCCTTCTTCACCTTTTGCTGGCTCTCCTCGGGGTTGGATGAGGGTCTTGTTCAAACATGATTCACTCATTTCCTTTGCTCCTTTGCATTCTTGGAGGAAAATCTGCACGGCCTTGGAACAGGTAGCTTACCTGCCCCACGCTCCTGCCCCCTCAGCCGCACCAGGTGGCCCCCATGCCTTGGCCGGCTTCGCCCACTCCCCCGGGGGCCCCCCCGCCCGCCATTAGCGTGATGATGGGCGGGGCAAGTGCCCTCCACCTCCCCGGCCCCCCCCCACGGGACTCTCAGTGCCACCCGCAGGGTTTGCTAAGACCTAGGAAGCACTTGGCATGTGGGCTTCCCCATCGCTCCTGAGCCTCTTCGAAGGCTGTTACCATAAAACGGGCTTATTCATCAAAACCTTCAGGTTTGGGTTGGGGCAATAGCACAGCGGGACGGGGCATCTCACAGGGGCGCAGGGCATCTGGGGCCCCGGCAAGGCCCGGGCAGCTCTGCCCGCTTCCAGCTGTGGGGCCTCAGGCCGCTGGGCCGCCCTCTCCGAGCTCGCTCTCCCGGTTCTGCAAAGCGGGTCGGCAGCCCTTCCTCCTTCTCATCAGGGGGTTGGTTCGGTTATAAAGCAAAAGCGTCGAAAGCATCTGGCCCTCACCAGTTCTCAGTAATTGTCAGCAGTTCCTCTTCTGTATAAGTCAGGACAGCAATTTGTCATGCGTGGTGGGGACGGCCGTTCACTACGTTCTGAAAGTGCCGAATCACGACCTCACCTGGGACGTCCCTGGGGCACCGCCCCCGCCCGTGCCACACCGCGGACGCGCGTACCCGCACCAGCCCGGCGCCTGGGACTTCCAGGAGCCCCGCGAGCTCTGCTTCAGTCACAGACAGAATCGCATGCAGCTTTTAAAACGACCCGTAACTGTAACATTTGCAAATTTAGAGACACATAAGTGCCACGAATAATTGCAATTATGCGATTGTACATACCCCGTGCAACTCTCCCCCACCCTGAGAAGCTACCCCTCTCCCGAGAGCCGCCCATGTGGCACGGGGCCACCGTCTGCCGGCGGGAGCTGGCAGGATCTGTCTCGGCCAGGCCGCCTCGCGTCTCGGGCTGCTCTCAGCAGTCCATGGAGACCAGAGGAAGGTGCCCTTTTTAGGGGGCGGGGGACTGGTCGTTTCTCCCACGGTTCCATTTGTGGAAGCCCACACTGGGGCCTCACTCTGCACTCTTGCGATTCTGTTCCGCCGGGAGCAGAAGAGGGTTAAGGGTGGCCCGGGTGGCCCCGGGCTGGGGTCCCTAGGGGCCTCCCTCAAGCTTCCCATGAGGAATCAAAAAGTGGGGTGCTGTCTCCTGACCCCCAGGGGCAAGCGGTCCACCAACACAGACAGATGGATCTATAACCCCCAGGGGCAGGGTGACAGCTTGGATGTGCGCCCTGGGCACAGACCTGTCCCCAAGCCTCCAGGACCTCAGCAAGGGGACGGTCTCCGTTTCTCTCTTCTCTGAGTCTCTCTCTCACTTCTGTTCTCCTCTTCTCTTTCCTGTTTCTCTTTTTCTCTGTCTTTTTCTCTTCCCTCCCCCTTTTGCTTTCTCTTTCTTTCCATTCTCTCTCTCTGTTAATGGCAGGCAGCACAAAGAAAATAGACACGGAGATCTACCCATCTCCCGCCCTCTTCCTGCCCCTGCTTCCCTCAGCCACAAGGGCCATGCAGGTGGGTGCAATCTGCTGAAATTTTTTCCCAACTGAGGGATTCTTTCTCGTCTTCACTCATAAACCCAATAACGGGTGGAGGTCCTCTCTCAACCCTGTCTCCAAGCCTTGCCTGCCACTCGGGAGCAGCCTGGGGAGGCTCCGGCCTGGGGTTGGGGGCTGGTGGCGGTTGGTTTCCGGACATGCTGTGCGTCCTCCGCCTCCACCCAGCTGCCTCTGAGCTCTCACCCTGAACGGACTCACTCAGCTGGGAATTGCGGGTGGGTCGGGAGGAGGAGTTGGGGCCGGAGGGTAGGGGGAGCCCAGCCTCGTGGGCCCCCACACTGTTCGCCTGGATGCTCTTAGGAGCCTGGAGGAGCTAATTACCAACAGTGGCCGCTGGCTCGAGGGGCGCCCCAGGTGGGCGACTTTCACTGTGCCCCCAAACCGTCCCCCCACCCCGCGCCGGCCCGCCCAGCTCCAAGTTGATGTGACTTTTCCAAGAGTATCTAAATAGCAACTTCAGGGGTCTGGAGACCCAGCGCGGGGCAGAAGAGCTTCCTCTCGCCGCCCCGTCCTTCCAGGAACCAGCCTGGCCAGCGGTGCGCTTTGGCGGGAGGAGCGCACCGCTCAGGTTTGACCAGGACAGGAGCTGAGGGAAGCCGCCTTGCTCACCGCGGAGACTTTGGGGGAGGCTAACGACCAGGGGCGGAAGGGGGTCGGGTGGGGGGTCTGAATGGCAGGAGGAGCTGCGCCAGAGGGCTGGGCGTGCTGCGCGGGTGTGCGCGCAACGCCGGGGGCTGTCTCCACCTCTTCTGGCAAGTTGGACCTATGAGTGCGCAGCTCGACTTACAACCATCAACAGTCGGAAGGGTGAGCGCCGAAGGGGGCGCAGGGCCCTTGCAACTTCTTCGCAGGACCCCAGTTGGGCTGCCAGCGCCCGCTGCCGCCTGAGAGCCCCGCGCCCGCGCCTCACTCCGCGCACCGTGGCGGCGCCCCCGGGCCATCCTGCCAGCCCCGACGGGATGCCTGCAGCCATGCTTCCCTACGCTTGCATCCTGGTGCTTCTGGGAGGTAAGTCTCACCGTTCCGCCCTCCCACGCCACCATCACCGGCTCCCTCCCTGAGGTCAGTGAGACGGAGGAGCTCGCCGTCTGAGGTCCCTGAGGGTCCTTGGAGGCCACTGCAGGCGTCTACGTACCCGGTCGGTGATGCTGTGTCCTGCGCGCTCCACCCGAGGCTCACCTGGTCGGCACCTGCCGCACCGCCACGCCCCTCCTGGGCCCCGCGCGGAGGGATCGGTGTCCTCGGGGCCAGTGCGCACCCCTTCGCGCTGCGCCGTGCGTGCCTCTTGGCGCTTCACCTCCAGGCACTAAGAGTAGCCCCTGGGGCGGGGCTTGGGGGGAGGGCGCTGCGCCCTCCAAGAAGAAGGAGGATCGCGGTGCCACTGTGAGGCCCGAAACAAGGTACAAACCCCAGGTGTTCATGCCAGGGCCACAGGGTCTGGTCTTGTCCTCGGAATCCTGGACCTGAGGGTTCTCACAGCTTGTGTTCGGACGCAGAGCTGGGGGAGAAGGTGGGGGGAGGGGCGCGGTGACCCTGGGCCCAGTCTGGTGCCCACAAGCCTGCCGGTAGGGTGTGAGGATGGGGGAGAGGGGTGGCCAAAGGGCCCGGGACTCCTGGTAGAGGACAGCGTGCCTTCTCCAGGATTAACTGCTCTCCCACTGGGGAACTGGCAGAATTCTACCGACGCCAACTGACCACAGTGTGCCACCTTTGGCCAAAATGAAATGACCACCACAGCCCCGGAAGTGTGCCCAGCCCGAGCGCCCTCACCCTGGGAAGCATTAAGAATTCTGGTCCTGGAGTCAGAACACCGGGCTCAGAGCCCCAGGTCAGATTCCGTCAGCTGACGCGCCTCGGTCGCCTTGTCCACCCGCGCTCAACCCGCGCGCGCGCTGTCATCTGCCCGATGGGCTCACGGAGCCCTGGCCCCGTCCGGGCTTCTCGGGAAGCACCGAGCGGGCTGCCCGGCGCCAGGACGCATTCGGCCGGGCAGCTGGGTGCCACGGGACAGCCAGGTCCAAAGGAAGACGCCCAGGTCCCACCGGGCGCTGGTCAACTGCATTCTAGTTAAGGAGCGAAGTCTAGTCTGCCTGCAGGAGCCCCTCAATCAGTCCTCTTCCCCACCCCCAATTTCTAAGCACAGTCTTTGGAGGAGAGAGGAAAGCGGTCTGAAGGAAGGTCAAGGGCCGGTGGGCTAGCACTTCGAGGAGTCACAGACGCGTCCATCCACAGGGCGCATTTACCACAGGGCACAAGGCGCGCAGTCACGCAGCTGCCCACCGCTGAGGAGCCCTCCAGCAACGCAGAACCGGCGGGCAGCCCTGCTCCTGGGTTGGGGAGGGCAAGGAATGTCCGACTGAGGGGGGGGGGTGGCTGGGCGCAGAGGCGTGTGGGGGAGAGGGCCGAAGCGGGGAACACCGCCTTTATGGCCTCCTACACCCCCTCCCCATCTGCTCCCTCCCGTGGGGATGGGACAGTCCAGAGCAGTGGGACCGATTGCCCTAGAAACCTGCAGGCTTGGTCTCAGCGCAGGGCTGTTGTCCTTGGCAGGCCCTGAGCTCCCCGTCATGCCAATAAAATCACTGCAAGCTTAGCATCGCGCTCGCGCTCAGGAGTCCTGCTGCTTGGCTCCTTGGCCACCGCTCGCCCCGCAAGTCAGACAGATTCCACGGGAGAGGAGCCAGCCGTGCCCAACGGGCTGAGGCGCGTGGAGGAGGCGACCCGCTGGCCCTGCACCCAGACACAGACGCCGGGAAGGGCGACGCGCCCGCGCGGGCAGCCTTCGCCGTGGCCTGCCCTAAGCCGGGCACCATTTTCTACTCAACGCTTCTTTCAAAAGTCCTTTTCACCTTGGGCTGGGCTACATCGCCCAGCAACAAGATCCTTCTGCTTTAGTGAAAGGAAACAGAACCCAGTTAATCCTCAAATACTTACATAATGCAGGTACCTGAGCAGAAGCAGGCCTGGGCTCCAGGTCTCCTCCCCAGGTTCCGGAAACGCTGCGGAGAAAGGCGCGCCAGCGGCCAGCCAAGTGAATTCACACCGAGCACGCACACACGCGCACCCCAGGGTGCCTCCGCCTCGCACTGTTTACTTCTGCGGTCCAGGGTCCATCGCTACAGGGCTGCCCCGCGCACTGTAGGATGTTTAGCAGTGTCCCTGGCCTCTGCCCACACTACCTGCCACCATCGACCCCTCCCTCGTTATGACGACCATAAAGGTCTCTAGACCCCGCCACATGTCCCCTGAGGGACCCCGTCACCCCCAGCTGGGAACCGCGGGAATGGCTACGTCCAGCTCAACTGGGAGCTTTTCTGATGAATCTGTCAAAATCACCCAGCTGGATGGACTGTGTTATTCTTGCTCTGAGCAATCAGGAAATCAAGGGTACAGTGGGGCCCCCAGAAAAACAACGCCGCAAGGTCGTGTCTAATTTGGACGTAGATTTTTCCCATTTGTTCTCGCTCCGTCTTGTCTCTGAGAATGTCCTCTTGGCGGGTGTCGGGAGCTAGGCTGTGCATGAGTGCGGTGAGGTACCCACAGCAGCAAACCTTCCCCAAAACCCTGAGATGCCAGCTCCGTCCCGTGCCAGCGCCACGGCCCCCAGCTTTGGTTCCCTCCGCAGCAATTTCTGGCTTTAAAAAATCTCCTTACTCAACAACTTATGCCTAAAGGGGGAAATGAGAAACCACAGCGCCTTTTTTTCTCTCTCTCTCTTTCTCTCTCATTTTTTTTTTTTTTGGTCTAATTTCAGTCCTGCTTTTATCTCTAACCATATATTTTGCGATGGCAAGTTATCATTTAGAGACAAATTAACTAGAACAAAATCACAGGCTAGTCCGCAATAAATTAGTTGTCAATGTGGGGCTCCACTTTGAATCCGAGAATAAAAATGGGGAAGAAAATTAACTGAAGGGCCCTCGTCCGAAAATCAAAAGTGAATGGAGGTCAGTAATCATATTAATTATTTAAAACAAAGGAAACGATCAGCAGAAACTTTCTCCTGCGGCGTCACAAGGCGGTCATCGAGGACAGCCGTTTGGCCTACCGTCTGACAGAGGCTGTGATCTCCAAGTTCAAAATAACCAGCTCCAGGCGGAGAGAGCAGCTTCCTTGATTTCAAAACCATCTGGCCAGCGAGCCAGTCGGAAGCTCCTCAAGAAGAACTATCTGCACGAGACGGTGGATGTTAAACTGTGTTAATGACAGCTTTTAAGCCAGCAGGAGCCCCTGATAAGACTTCCAAGATACAGTGCTTCCCCACCCAAGTCAGTCTGCAAAACGCAGAGTGATAGCCTAACGCGAAGGAAGGGAGGCGGCTGCCCTCCGTTGGAACGCGAGGGCAGCTGGGCTGGGTTAGGGGCCTTGGAAAAAATCCATTCTGTGATCCCAGCAGCGGGGGGTCAGGAGCTGTGGCCAGGAGATCAGTGTGGTCGTGGCTCACGCCAGAATGGACTTTTGTGCAAAGCCAGCTTCCTGCCCCCAGACGACCCTGACACAAGAAACGGGGACCTGGGAAGCGAGGGGCAGCATACAGGAGGGGCAGCCAGCGGGCCAGCAGGCGCCAAGAGAGCCCGGAAGAGCACACCCAGACCTGGGCAGACCGGGTCCCCCCCGAGCTTTGCCGCCTTCCCATCCTGTGTCTGTCACCTGGAGAGGCTCAGCCTGCGTCCCCATCAGCGAGTTGGGAGCGGCGGTCTCTCCTGCCCCGAGGAGTGCTAGACAGGCTCCGTGAGGGCTGTGTGGCCAGGACTTGACACCCAGAACCTAGTGACCCCTCTGTGCTGTCCCCGCAAGGACTGGGCGCTGCATTGAGTGCTCCGGACCCGGAGAAGAAGGGGGCGGCCCCACCCTCAGCCGACCCCCAGTGCAGCTCGAATTGGGCAGGTCACTTCTGTGTGCCTCCCTATAGTGGGTGTCCCCAAGAACACCGTGATTGTTGCAACGATACCGGCCAGGGCAACAAAAATGAGCCATCGTCCCTAGGGAGTGAGCCAGGCTGCTGCTTGTGCGCTGTCTCCTGCCATCTGCCCCCACCACCCCTGGCCCAGGCGCGGGCCTGTGAGTGTCTCTTGCCTCTTCTGTGAGATGGGAATGGTGGCCACGGGGTGGGAGAGGTGAGTGAAGGGGGGATGTCTGGCAGAGGGGTGGGTGGCGGCACGGTGTGGCACTCGCCCATGTAAGGCACTGGGGACAGAGGGCCGAGTGAGGCCACCGCCCCGCCCCAGGGAATTGGGAGTCAAATTGGACAATGAGCTCTGCAACGAGCCGTTCGCCCCAAGGAGTGTGCTCGGGGCGGGGGGGGGGGGGCCAGGGGTGCCTGGGCTGGGTCGGGCGGGTCAGAAAGGCCTCCCTGCAAGGCTGAGTGTTACCTGAAACTGGAAAAGCACGCAGGGAGGGGAAGCTGGCAAAGGCCGCGGTGTTCCTGACCAGCGCAGGCCAGTGGCGCTGGCCGGAGAGGGTGAGGCGGCGGGGTGGACGAGGTCAGCGGCCGGCAGGGCCGTCGCGGAGGGCCGCGGGGCCCCAGGGAGGGGCTGGACTTTGTGTCCAGGGCAGGGAGGGGCCCACAGAAGGGTATATTCAGCAAGGGAGAAAGGGGATGGCACTACAGGTAATGAGTTCCCCGTCACTGGAGGTATCCATGAACAAACTGGGTGAGTGATGGTAGCAGTGGCTACAGAGTTGCCTGGGTTCTTTGTCCAGCCCTGAAAGTCTCTGCTTCTTAGGAACCCCACGGCCTCCTAGCGCCAAGACACATGCTTTCAACTGTTATTTTAGCCCCGCCGCGTCCCCCCCAAGCTCAGTGCCTAGAAATGACGCCGGCAGCAGTAAGGAGCTATACTCACCGGCACTCGCGCGTCCCGCAGGCTGACCGTGGGGCCCACGCAGCAGGTGGGCGCAAGCGCCGCTGTGAGCCCCACCTCCCAGCATCCCTGGGACGGGGGCACATGGGGCCCACCCCCTCCCCACCCTCTCCCCTAGGGGGTCGCCCTGGTCCCTTCCCCTCG